TCTGTCTGTCTGTCTGTCTGTCTGTCTGTCTGTCTCTCCTTCTCCCATGCCTTACCACTGTAAATCTCAGCTATGTTTCAAGCAGGGCAGGTGGTGACTGAAATCAACCAGTAACCTATCTGATTTCCTAGAACAGGACCAGCTGTCCTGCTGCCTGGTCCAGACACCAGGTGAGATTTCTCTCTTCCATTTGCCAGGAAGATGCTGATTCCTGTGCAGAGATGGGTGCTTCAGCAGGATTCCCTATCCTGGCTCAAAGGGCAGGACAAAGGCAGGCTGAGGGGCTGCTAGCTTTTAGATCTTTCCCTTTTGAAGTCCTGTTGTTGTAGCTGGATGTTTGGGCATGTAGCAGCAGTCTCACTTCTCATGCCTCAGTAGCTGACTGAACAAGCAAGGAAAGACATACCAAGAGTGGAATTTGGGAAAAGGAAGATTGAAACATCCAGGAGGTCTTTCAGTACAAACCACTATGCTCCATGTTTTGACATTCTTAGCAAGATCAGGGAATATGTCTCAGTATGTATTTCTGTCTTCTTGCAGAGCCCTGTGTTGTGTAAACGAACTGATGGATGAAGATGAGAAGGACAGGGCAAAGAGGTATGACAGTATGTACTCCTAGAGGTGAATTGTAAATGCTGTGTTGTCCAGTGCTTGACAATGAACTTGACTCCACTGATGTCAGAGGCAAAGCTACCACACAGTTTACAGGCTGTGTATAGCTGACCACAAGCAGCATAATTTAAGTCACTGTTCAGGCTTCTCACAGAGTTTGGCCACCCCTACAATGAGTTATCTGGCTGAGTGGTCCTTAAATTACACTGCTGTGCCTTTAGGATCTCGTGCTATCCCATGGCTATTTATTATCTTGAAGCAGGATTCCTAACCTGTGATTTTATTGCCATCAAGCAGTACTGCCCACCTGGGGTAGAGTTGCCTTAGCAGTCCTGCTTTAGCACAGGTCTGAGTTGGTCTCCTCTCAGAGAAGCACTTGGCTCAGTTCTATTTAGTCATTGTACATGAGTGCCAAAGCAGAGATGGCTGTGAACATGAACGCTGGATCTGAGAACATCCAAATGCACTCCTGAATATGAATGGAAATGCTTTCTGCATACCACCCTCAGTCTAGATCACAGGAAGTATGTATCATCATGAATACACTCGTAAAGCAAATTAATTACTACTGGAAGAGGTTGTATGAAGTGTTATCTCAGATATAAGCTTTGGAAAGAACACTTTGGAAGAAACTGAATGGATTTGCTTTCTCCTTTATTGTTTTTTATGGAAGAGGAAAGCCTAATAAATATTCTTAATTTGTGAACTAAAAACTGAAAACAGTTGTAGTTCTGCAGCCAGACTCTTAACATTCCCAGTTTCATATATCACAGCAGTAGATTTTCAAGGCCACATACAAGATTTTGTTCTGCAGTTCAGTTGCCTCTGCATAATGCTGGCTCTTGATAAGCACTATTGATAAGCTCCTTTTGCAAGCACAAATTAGAGAAATCCTTCACATTTTGATGTTTATATATGTGTGTACTAACTGCAAAACAGAAATGCATAAAAATTAAGTGAGCAAAACATGATCATGCGTGAACATACTTTTCTCTTACTGGAGGAATTTCTCCCATAACACCTTCACTATCAGGGCTTTTGAAACAGTGGGAACTACTGCTGAAATGTATGTAAGGATATGGTCTTTAAAGTGTTTTGCTGGGGCAGGGCAGATCACCTTGTCCTGGTTTGTGCTGTAGGTCCTTCATTCTGCTTAGTGGCATTTATGTTTTTGTTGCCCAGGGCATCACGCAACAAATCTGAGAAAAAGAGGAGAGACCAGTTCAATGTCCTCATTAAAGAGCTTTGCACGATGCTGCAGGGCCACGGCCACCCTCTCAAGATGGATAAGTCCACAATACTGCAAAGGACCATTGACTTCCTACAGAAACAGAAAGGTACAGGAGTGTGCTGGCTCTGCATCTGCCCAGCAGCCAGTTTCCACTCAGAAAATGCAAGCTGTTTTTCCCAAGCATCTCAGCCACCTAGGGAGGACATGAGCCTAAGTGAGGGGAAGAATAAGGCACAGCAGTTGGCCTCAGGAGATGGACTAGAGCTGAATGCATTGCTGATCAGTTAAACATAGATTTTAAAAGATGCAGTGGTTTATGCTTTTTTCTGTGGATACCCTCACTGGCTTCCACATCCCCTGGCCTGCTTTGTGCACTCTCAAACAGAATATGGGGAGGGAAAAGCTGAGGAACAGCACCCATTACAAAAGTCAGGGGAGAGGGGATTCTATGCCATCTTGCCAGGTCTCTTGGATTAGGAGATGATAAGCCTGTCCTACTGCCTGGGCACTCACAAGAGCAGCCTGTGAAACAGCTTCAGAATTGCAGACACCCTTTGCTCACAGGGATGCTCTACTATTCTAAAATTAGCCTATTGATCTTAATTTTTTTAATGTTATCTTCAGGCCACCCAAAATGTCTCCTTTTTCCTGTCTTGATTTCTAATGCATTTGTATCATGATGGCGTGGAAAATGACTGTTGCATGCAAGAAGGCTCTGTGTGAAGAATGATATGAGGATGATTCCTCTAACAGCCTCTTAGAAAAAATCTAATGTTACTTGAAAATGAAAAAAAAATCCAAGTAGTCTGAGTCATGGTGCTTTTTTGATATTTTCTTTTTAAGAAATCACAGCACAGACAGAAGCCTGTCAAATTAGACAAGACTGGAAACCTTCATTTCTTAGCAACGAGGAGTTCACCCAGTTGATGTTAGAGGTAAGAAGAAATTAAATAGATTAGTGAGAAATAATAAGGTCAGTGGACTAGTTCAGGGATATAGTTCTTTTTCACCTATAGGTCCCATGTTAATGGTTTCATCTCTACTGGCACATTCAATACAAATCTGACAGAGACCAATATTGTACTAAATGCTTTGCAGACACAGAATTAAAAATAAGATTGCTTCCTCTTAAAGATAAATGGCTTTTTGTATGGGAATCAAGACTGATTTGGCCCAGATTTGGCCTGGTGAGAGAGGAAAAAGAGAATTTCCTTTTCTCAGAAGAGCCACAAGAGCTGGCGGTTTTAGGAAAAACTTGAAAGGACCTGAAAAAAGCAGAGCAGCTCTCTTCCTCCCACATTTCATTAGCCAGGCAGCACCACCTGTGCTGCCTCTGTAGCAGCTGCCTGTGCGCTGCTGTCCTCTTGATGGGAGTGCTGCCTCTTCTGCTTGATTGCCTTTAAGTGCATTCAGGAAAACAGCTCTTATACTCCCACCTCTAAAATGCTTTGCCGATCTAGAAACATCCCCCAAGCCTACATTTCTCCCCTCTTAAGGATGCGGCTCTGAGTTTGTGCTGCATGCTCCTCCAGTGGGAGCATCTCTTAACCTGCATGGGCAGCTACTGCTCTTCGCCCCACCAAAAAAAGGGTGTATGGTGGGCATGAGCTAGGAGGTGCTGCTGTGTCTTAGTTATTGCTTTTCATCAGGATGTCATGACTCACCTCTCTGGAAAAGTCTGTTCATTCTTTTGGGAATCTCTCTTGCCAAACAAGCTAGCTTGTTCAGCTGAATCAAAACAAATTCTCCCCTTAGACTGGAAGTGGTGGGGGAGAGCAAGCCCTATAACTGCTGGCTTGCTGGACTCTGGTAGACCATTGAACAGTTTGCTTAAAATCAGTGGATTTTTTCCAGAGAGGACTCAATTTGAGCAGAGTCTGGCAGTGAGGTGGGGGAGATGGTGAATACTGTATCTTTGGCTCCCTGTAGCTAAGCTGCAGAGCAGCATAACAGTATCTTTAGAAGAGCTGGCTTTGTGCACAGTGCTGACCAACTATTAAACCTCCCAGATCTTGATGTTAGAGAAGAATAAGGACAGGCACTGCATAAATGGTACAAGGCGATATTGTGAAGAATAGGGAGAACATAACATCCAAAGGAGAAAAGCACAGACGGTAATTTAAAAGGGACAGAGAACTTCAACTCTGGGGCAGAGTTAAAGGGACGGAAACCACTGTGAATGAGAAAGGGGAAAAAAACAAGCCTTGAAATTATTTTGTCACTTGCCTTACAAATCAGTGCTTTAAGCAAAATAAAGAAGGCTTTAGATCTTCTTCATATTGCCAGCAAACTGCTAAAAATACATAATTGTGTAATTTTTCTGTCTCTGCTTATCCGTTCATCTATCCATCCACATTTCTGGGTTTGCCATGATGATATCTGACATCTCCTTAGACATTGAGTTTGTCAACTGTTATGTAATTCAGAACACATAATGAAGTGACTGAAGTCAGCAGGATTATGTGGGTGTTGAAATTCTAAGCATCACTGTCTCTCTTCATGTTAAATAAATACTCACTGGGTGAAAAATACAAGTCAATTTAGTAATAATGAGAATGAGAAAATAAGAATATAAAAAGAATGTTGAATTAGACAGCATGTGTAATTTTTATTTTTCCACATTGAACTGTCATTTCTTGGATTAATTTCTTCTAAGTTTAAGCTGCTAGAAGCATCACTAATGAATCAATTAGTCTAACTTTTTTTTCCCTTGCATAATTCTGTTTTGTTTTTTTTCTCTTTTTTTTTTTCTGCCTGTTATCATTAGGCACTAGATGGCTTTCTCATTGCTCTTACAACTGATGGGATTATTATTTATGTATCTGATAGTGTTTCGTCTCTGCTAGGACACTTACCGGTAAGTTCTGACTATGAAATACATTGAAGGCTCATTCCCCTCCTTAATGTAAATCAGTCAGTACAGGGCTGGGGATTGGTTTTGTCCAACCAAAGAGGCAACTGACTGTGGGTGGGAGGTCAACCAATAAACTCTTGTGCAGTTTCTCAAGTTCCTGTGAATAACAGATTCTCTCCCAGGGTCTGAGTTAGTTTAAAAAAACCCCAACAATGCAAAATCACTGTACTACTCATAGCTCATCACTTGGCTATACATCTAAAGGTTTGGAAGGTGTTTGATCCACTAGGCTAATGAAAAATCTTATGGTTGTGAAATCCGTGCTGAAGCTCTTCTTAGATAATGTAAATATTATTTCAGATCTCAATCTATGCTCTTCGAATGCCATTGGGTTTTTCTACTTTGAGCCCATAGTATTTAGTAACAAATGCGTGGCCTCAGAGTTTTCTGGGAGAACTTCTAGAAACCAGTTAGTTGTCATGTGCAGAAATTTCAGCTTGGCCCCTCAAAAACATTCTTCTCTTCATCTGGTGCCAAGCATGAAGCACCAACGATGCTGGCAAATTCAAGCACACAGTTACCAGAATGTCATTTATGCAAAGAACAAATCTGTGCTGACATTTTGGTAGAACCCCTTAGTCAGGATATGTGGGTTGATGAGCACTGAATCACTTGCAGGTCAAGCTGATTTTGCCAGATGTTCAGCTTAGAAGACAAATAAAGGATGTAGGGAGGAGCTCTCCCTCTTTCGTGGCATGCTTTCAAAAAAAAAGTTTAACTTCTTATCGTATTATAGTCCCATGATACTAGGGTTTCTTCTCCAGCCTATATCTGTTTGAACTGAAGGGAAACCTCTGGGACTCATTCAGCCTTTTGCAAATAGATAGTAATCCTGGGGTAAAATAGTCTAAGGGTTATATTCTGCCCTAGATCCATCTGCAGATTGACTGGGCTTCCTTGTCGTAGGCATCCAAGGCCAGACTGGCTGCGTCTGTGCTCTGCTGAGGGGTGAAAAGGCATGTGATTTTGTCAGGCTGTACTGCTGAACATGACAAAGCATTCTTTTGTATCAGTCAGATTTGGTGGACCAAAATATATTAAACTTTCTGCCTGATGGGGAGCAGAGCGAGGTGTACAAGCTCCTTTCTCCACATGTGCTCATGACAGATCCTGTTGCAGCTGATTTTCTAAATGGTAAGTTCTGCTCTTGTCTGTCGGTCAGAGAAATTTGCCAAAGGTAAACAGCACCTGGGGAAGTCTGCACAGAGCTCTACAGCTATTTAATGCTCTTGCCTGCCACTTCAGTTTTGCTGCATTTGTGGGTTTTAGTGCATCACATCTCTAATGTTCCTATGTGGTCCCAGTACTTGCTCTTCAATTAGGACAGTCTTTGTTTTACCATCTGTTTTGTGCCTTGGATGGTAGATCCTTTCCCCCAGGTGGATGCTAGACTAAGCCTGAGAAAGGAGTGAGAGCTCAAAGGAAAAAAAATTAGAGAAATCCCAAACGGTTTTGGCAGAGCCGTTATTCCTTAGGAAGCTTGCATGTCTCAGGACACAAGAGAAGCCCTAATGTAACTTAAGCAACAGGCTTTCTGTCTGAACAGTCTATCTGGATCGGTACTGCTGGCTGCTGTCCCATGTCCCTTTCCTGCAGAAAACGTCCCCAGGACCAGAGCAGGCAGCAGCATCTTCCTAACACCTGTATTTTATTAAGCCTATGCTGAGCCCCTGCCCATTTCTCAGGGGATTTGGCAAGGCCACAAAGCAGCACTGAGCTCCCCTCCCTGCTGCCCCATATGCATGAGTGGGGGCTGAGCAGCCTGCTGATGCTCTGAGCAGTCTGATGATGCTGTGCCCAGGAGATGGTTTCCCTATGGCTGAAGGCCGTGTGGTCTAATCCATAGAGTTCAGATTTGGGGCAGAAAACTGGATTAGAGCTAGGCACAGTGCCCTCCACTGTTAATGGAAAGCTTAGGGTGTTTTCAGTGACCTTTTGGGTCAAGGTTCCACTGAGCAGTGCCAGAGTAGAGTACTGCAATACCATGCAACTGCTTTGCAGACTTCTAATAACATTGTCTGTGTATCCCTCTCTTTCTCTCATTTCAGTGGAAAAACAAATAGAGTTCTGTTGCCATTTTGCAAGAGGCAGCTTAGATCCAAATGAACCTCTGATGTATGAATATGTGAAATTTGTAGTGGATTTTAAATATTTTACTCATGGTAAGTTACTGTTCCAGCCTATCTTTTATCTCTCCACCTCTCTCCTTTAAATTGTCTTGATCTGTAGCATTTTAAAGGCTTTGTTTCTGCTGAAAATGCCCTGTAATTGTCAGGGATGGAATGAACTGTGCATACATTGTATATATTTTTCGTACAAAAGTGGTGGGGAATTTGTTGATCAGAAGAGTGCGCTCTCCTGCATGTTGTGCCTAAAGCAGATACCAGACTGAAAGTGCCTGTTTGACCCACTGCCGGTTTTAAAGCAGCCTACTTATTCAAATAGCCAGTAAAATACAGTGTTCTGTTTCACTTGTGGCAGTGAAATGACACTTTACAGAGATGAAGTACTTTGAGGTGCCTGTAAAATCCTGAATCTTGCAAATGTTGGCCTGGAGAAAGGCTGACAAGGAGACTGTGAGCTGCTCAGAGCTGTCTTGCAAAGCTCCCCTGCAAGCCATGAGTAGGTGGTTATAGCCGTGTAACTTGGAGCCTAAAGGGTCATGCTTTAAATAACATCAGCGTGGATCAGTGTGGCATCACCCTGTGGGTAGGAGTTTGTTGTTTGGGTTTCATCAGTCACTGTACCTGTCTTAACATGAGAACAAAGCACTCCTTCCTCCTCTTCTTAAATAAATTGTCTCATTGTTTCTAGTGCCTACATCCTCCTGTAATGGCTTTGAGTCAGCTATTGCACGAGCTTTCAGGTCAGCCACGGAGGAGCAGATTTGCTTGGTAGCAACTGTTCGTCTTGTCACGCCACAGTTCTTAAAGGTGAGCTCTGTGCAGCCACTTCTGCCCTGGGGTGCGGAAGCTGCTGCCGGTGTTGTGGCACTGCCAGGAGCAGGGTCAGCAGCACAGGTTACTTATGCACAGGGTTAGTAGAGGAGAGAGGACATGGCTGTAGCTGGGAGTGGGAGATAACATAAGTGTGTATTTTGGAAAGCTAAGGTATAAAGTGGGAGCTGCTTTTGAGAAGAGGTGGTTTTGTGATGGGGTGTCTCAGAAGGGGAGCCTGGGAAGCTCCAGGACCAGCTACACCACTTGGGAATTTGCGGCCTTCAAGACGTGCATCCACCACTCCTTTGTATAAGGAAGCCATCTGTATCTTGAAACATTGAAAACATGTGTCATGGCCTCTTCCTGCTGGTCTGTAAATGTCCCATGGCACTGTGCACTGATGACAGGGATAACAGCCCTAGGTGCTGCTTGCTCAAGAGGGCATTAGCCAGCTTAGTTAGAGTATGGACCTGGAGCTGTCATCCATCTTCAAATACCAGTATTTGCAAAAAGCTGGGGAATTTTTCCTAGAGAGTGCAAGATGAGACTGACTATTTATCTTAGCTCTGAAATTCAGCTCAAGGTAAACTATTCAACCATTTTTCATCAGTTCCTGCATGTGTAAAACAAGTCTTACACATTCCTTAGAGGAAAATAAGTCAAGTACTTTAAAAGCACTGTATTTTGCTATGGTTTATTATATCAACAAGATGCATCCTAGGTTTTGATAGCAGGCTCCTTTTGTCATTTCGTAGAATTAAATGTCTGAACGTGCCCACTATTTTGCAGGAGCTCTGCAACATTGAAGAGCCATGTGAAGAATTTACATCGAGGCATAGTTTAGAATGGAAGTTTTTATTTTTGGACCACAGGTAAGAGATTTGGGTTTAGTCACTGAAGAATAAATAAACTGTAGTTTAAAAATAGAAAACTGTATACCTGTTGCCTGAGATTCCAAATTGAATAGTTCTAATTAAATGCTACTTATTAAGTAGCAGTACTCTGAGCTTAGCTGTTAGGCATCCATAAATGTTTCACTATTTTCCATATTTTAGGCTAGTAAGAAACCATGGAAAATGTCTAGAAAAATGTCTAATCTCCTAACCAGGATAATAAGTCATTGAAAGTGAGCAGTGTGGGTCCCAATACATTCCCCATATTGGTTTAACTCCTCTGTTTTACAGCTACAGCTTCCAGGAATCCTTGTAAATCTTTTTCTGTGTCAATAAACTCTTGACTTTTCACCTTAAGAAATGACAAAATTTCTCAAAATAAAATAAAAAACGGTGGATTTTATTATTTAATTGTAGGTTAATTTTTGACAATGAAATATGGTGGGCTTTGAATTCAGCTTTGTGAATGAA